ACAGCTGGAATAAACAGCTGGAACAAACTGCTGAAACAAACCGGCGGCCGTACCTTGTAGTTGTGAGCACTGAGGTACTTGAAGTGTCCGAAGCAGACGTGAGACAGACAGACCACGATGGTGACGATCAGAACAACCAGAGTGAACATGGAGGTCGGCGTCTCGAAACCTGTTAGCATTAATTAGCATTAGTTAGCATTCAACAACAAAAAGTAAATGTCGAACAACTTCAGTTTATCGACTGTTTCCATCGGCTCTCATTTGGTCTCGACTCACCTGAGATCCTGTTTGGACTGACAAACAGGTGGTTCAGTGGTTGTCTAGCAGGGGTCGGGGCGGGGGGGGGCTTACCTGTGCGTACAGTGGAGAAGAAGAGCAGCCAGAAGAGGCAGAGGATGGGCGCGGCCACCACCTGGGTGACGGCTCCTGAGTGGATCTTCTTGTCCAGTTTGGAGGGCAGGTAGGCGTAGTACATGTTGTATCGGTCCACCAGGTGTTTCAGCAGCATGTACATCAGACCTGCAGGTGACAGGTGAGTCAGTGCGGACTTAAAGTCTCAACTCTGGGTATTAATACTGTAGCAGCAGTATTAGCAGCATTAGCATTAGACTGACCGAAGGGGACGATGATGGGGCAGGTGATGCTGTACGCCATCACCACGGTGAAGACGTTCATCATCCAGGCGTACGCGGCTCCGAACTGGAACTCGTAGGCTTGATGCTGCAGGGACCAAACACAGTGTGTCAGACAGGAAGTGACCACAGTGGGGCCCCCTGAGGCTGTAATGCTCATCACAGTCACTACGTGGCGTCGTCAGGTTACCACAGACCGATCTGGGTCGGCGTGCTCACCCTCTTAACGTTGCGGCGGTCGGCGGCGGAGCGGGCCAGGCACAGCCGGATCATGTACATGAGCAGACCCGGGATCCGGAGCAGGTCCATGGCGTTCCCGATGAATGCCGAGGCGATGACGTAGTTCACGAAGAACGCTCCGTTATCTGGCAGGAAGACGCACCTGAAGGGACACAGCAGACAACCTGCTACTGACTGATCGATTGTTTCAAAATAAGAGCGCATAAAAAAGGCTACAGATGGAAGTCAGTCAATAATAAAACATATTATACATTTAAAACGAGTGTTTGAATCTTCTTTGTTTTGGACTTCCATTGTAATTCGTTTTATTTTAAAATGCAGATTTTATTTCAATCTTGATGCTGACATTAAGTTTAAAGGTATAAACGAGGACCGCTGAGGGATTACAGATTATATTGAACCACTTACTCAAACCTGACTTTGGCATCAGCCAGGAACTTCTTATCAAAGAGCCAGCGGAAGAACACGTCCAGACTGCAAGAGAAAGAGTTTCAGTGAGGACAGCAGAGGTCAAAGGTCACTCAGGGACGGACTCTTACAGCCAACAGATTATTACCTGCTGAGTCCGAGAGACGGCAGCAGCAGAACCATGAAGATCAGGAAGGTGTAACATTTGTGCATCGTCGTCCTATTTTCTCCAGACCTGCAGACACAGACGGATCAATTAAATCAATAATCTATAATCATTCAACGGTGTGTAAACTGCAGAGCTTCTATATGCAGTGATAACCTGGAGCTGTTATCCAATCTGAAGCCACATTTTTACCATCCACTGTTTAGATCTTGGTGCTTTATAAGGATTTTAGTCATCAGATGTCTGGATGGTGTCAGTAGTGGTGAAGACAAAAACTCCCATGATCGCACGCCACTCACCTGGTCCAGTGAGCCTCGAAGAAGGCTGAGTAGTAGACGATGGTGGGCAGCAAAGCGGAGAAAGCCCAGAGCAGCAGCGTGGGGAAGAACTGGGTCACGATGGGGTTCTGTCCAAAACAAGAGTCACAACAATCAGTTCACATCGTATGAACACAACCCTGCGGCAGAGCGGCAGAGCGGCTTCCTTACGTTGAGATACTCCACGGGCTTGGTGACGTTGAATTTATCCATGGTGGAGATGATGATGGCGGGCGTGGTGAGGAAGAAGAGCAGGATGAAGAGGATGCAGTTGATGATGAAGCAGCGGATCCACCAGGAGATCCCGCCCAGCGACAGGTGCTCCCTGCAGGAATAAACCAACACACATGAGCTGAGGATGAAGGGTGCGTTTGTTTTGTATGTGGCGGGCGGAGCTCGTGGATGTACCAGCGGACGTTCTGCGGGTCGGGCGCGTACGAAACACTCCAGTTGTAAACGTGAAGAACCTCGCTGAACTGAGAGGACTGTGGCTCCTGACGACACCGACAGCCCTGAACCTGGCAGGCGTTAAAGTCCTTCAAAATACTGTGAAAATAGAGGGGTGGGGCCAAAGAGAAGGGGGTGTGGCCAGAGATAAGGGGGTGTGGTCAGAGCATCGTAAACAGGAAGTGTATTACAGTTTCAACAAATAAAAACAAACTGTGGAAACAAAGTGACAAATTAACTAATTATTGTTTTATAATCTGTTGGTGGGCGGGGTCAGATACGGGGCGGGGTCAGGTAAGGGGCGGGGCCAGGCAGTGCCTCACATTGCAGTCATGGACTCGTTCTGGAAGGTGACGAAGGCCATGCCCAGTGGTTTGGTGTGGACCTTCTCCTTCTCCTTCCTGTACTCCTCCTTCAGCTTGGACTCCCTCTTGGTGTAGTAGCTCACCGCCTCCTCCTGCAGGACAATTGTAGACTGCTAATTCACTGCTAACACGCTAACAGCTAACACTGACCCAGCACATGGAACCAGACCAGGTCTCATTTGATCCAGATAAAACTTTAACATTAAAAATAACCAGAGCAGAGTAAATCACATGGTTTATTGACATTATTGCTATTTGAGCAGACCTCCTCGCAGCCGGTGATGGCACAGCAGCAGAGGTGTCCGCAGGGTTTGGGGTTGATCATGGTGGGAACGTGTTCCTTCGCCATCAGGTCAGTGAAGAACTTCTTACTGCGCTCCGTCTTCTTCCTGACAGACACACACAGCACGGACACACTGTCATACTCTATACACAGAGCTGGACTGTATCCCAGCATGCACTGGGCCCTGACTGTCTGTCTCACCTCTCAGCGTTCAGAGACATCAGTTTGGCCACGTTGTAGCAGATTCGAGCCTCGAGCACTGTGCAGTTCTCATAGGCCTGCCTGAGGAGTAACACACATTCAGATCCTTATAATAATAATAATAATAATAACATTGACAGAAACCTTTAAACTGCACAGATCACATGATACAAATAGGACATTTTTTTCAATTTGACCGACTGATTCCAGCAGCAGGTCGACACTGTTCAGCCTTATTCCTCATTACATAATGGATTCATTATTAAAGCTTTAACCAGGCTCTGGTGTCGGTCTGAGGGACAGGAAGAGACGGAGACGAGCAGTGAACTCACTCAAAGTGCTGTTTGATCTGACTCTCCTCAGCGTACTTCGAGATGCCGTTGATGAATAAAGTGCGTTTCACCTGCGAGACACAGAACTGGGATTAAAACACAGAAGGGCGTGATGGCTCCACACAGACATCAGACTGAATGAGATGTTGTTGTGGTCTGTGAGACCTGGACCAGGTCCTACCAGGTCGTCCTCCTTGTAGTGCATCTTGGAGGTGTGCCTCCTCATGCTGTAGACGGTCAGCAGCAGGTACATGAAGGCGAACGAAGTGTGCAGCCACAGCAGATTCGTCCTGGACAAAAACGTTTCACAGAAATCTTTATTGTTCCGAGCTCAAAGCTAAGCTAACAGTTCCCACCAGCTTCCAGTCTTTGTGCTAAGCTAGGCTAACCACAGTTTCTGTACTGGACACACAGATGATCTGAAACAGACTCCTTCAGGACACTGTGGACCACCTGAATGTGGGTTGCCAAACAAAACCGCTGTTATGACCCGACTGAGCCCCAAAAACTGAGGCTGTCCCAGCGGAGCAGATCTGGGCCCGAATTTCCTCCAATAAAAAACAATCACTTCAGGGTTCCCACTCTTTTTAATCCTTTACCAGTCATATAATGTACCAGCAGGACTCCAACAACTCCCTGACTGGAAATCTAGTCTCTGAATTGAATGAGTTTCCTACAAGATTAAGTACATTGTGCATATAATACAGTGCTAATTATTATCAAAACAAATCAATAACAGTCACTTATTAATTACATTATTAATAAAACATTTAGCTAGCTAACTATCAGACTGTGAGAGCAGCTCAGATACGACTGCTGGTCCCGTTTTATCGGAGCAGAAATCCTCAGGGACTCACCCAGACTTCAGGTTGGCTATCGTGGTGCGTCCGAAGCTGTAGGCGTTGTTTTCTGGAATAAACATCAGCAGAGGACAGAGGTTATCATCAGGAAACATTCGGGACAGAAGTCGGCCTTTAATGTTTATTATATATTATATTTGTGTCCATACAGTGGGATTACAAACACCAAATATTACACACTGTCAATTATTGTTCAACATGAATGATCATAAAACTAATAAATAATAAATAAGGAGCTCAAACACAACTCCAGTACAGTACAGTGTGTACAGGTACCGAATGTTCTTTACATGTTTATAATGCAAAATATAACCAGCAAATCACTGCTTATATAGTATTACTCAGGAGGATAAAATCTAACGTTATTGATCCTCAATGGAGGGAAATTCCCTAGTTACCCAGCTCCACCTTACCCAGGTGATGAACACATTAATGCATCAATAACTATAATCCATGTACATTATTCTGCATACTTTTACTTTTTATAAGTTTTGATACAAACATGTTTGTACTTTTGCAGTTTTTTACTCAAGTAAAAGTACTTTTTCAATTACTGCGGATACTACACAGTCCAGGTTGAGCTAAAACCACCATCTACCATCAGACAGCAAACACAGACCTACAGACTTCCTACAGACCTCCTACAGACTCTGGTCTGACTGTTACCTTCTTTAGAAGGAGGTCTGGGCGCTCCTTGGTTTAGGAAAGCATCTTTACTGATAATTCGGACTAAAACCAACACAAAGCGAGAACACTGTGAGACAGTCTGATAAACCAACTGTTTAAAGTCCAGACCAAATGAAAAAGATCACATCCTGTCCCCAAAACATAGCTAGCATACAAGCTAAACATACGTTGGACACATTAGAGTTGGACACTCTGTCGCGAGCGTCCGAGGACATTTGTTTGTATTAAGTGACAGAAAAAGGAACTGCGGCCGGCTGCTGTTGGTTCTCACCCAGCAGGTCTCCGGAGAAGTTGACGGGCAGGACGATGCCGACAGAGAGAACGCCGACGACGACCAGCAGGCCGATGATGTGACGCTGGAAGGACAGATAGTGAACAGCATCCTCACCGCACTTCTCCCTGATCTCTTCGTCCCTGCAGAAGGAGGAAGAGGAGGAGGAAGAAGGAGGAGAGGAGAGGAGAGAGGAGAGAAGGAGGAAAGAGGAAGAGGAAGAGGAGAGGAAGAGGAGGGGAGGGAGGAAGAGGAAGAGGAAGAGGAGAGGAAGAGGAGGAAAGAGAGGAAAAGGAGAGGAGAGGAGGAGGAAGAGAGAGGAAGAGGAGAGGAGAGGAGAGGAAGAGGAGGAAGAGGAAGAGGAAGAGGAAGAGGAGAAGAAGGAAGAGGAAGAGGGGAGGAGGAGAAGGAAGATAGGAGAGGAGGGAGGGGAGGAGGGAGGAGGAGGAGGAGGAGGAGGAGGAGGAGGAGGAGGAAGAGAGGAAGAGGAAAGGAGAGGAAGGAGAGGAAGAAGGAAAGGAAGAGGAGGAGGAAGAGGAAAGAGAGGAAGAGAGAGGAGGAGGAAGAGGAGAGAGGGAAGGAGGGAGGAAAGTCAGTGAATAAGAATACGTCACCATAACAACATTGGACAGCGTGTTTGCAGATGATACTCCACTTTATTCTGAAGATGGCGTCCAGCCACGAGCAGAAACCCTGCGATGAAAACACACACATATTAACACACACCACACTCACACACCAACACACTCCACACACACACACTACACACACACACTCACACCCCACACACACCACACACTCAAACACACACACTCAAAAACTCACCACAACTCCACACACCACACACACACACCACAAACACACACACACACACACACACCACTCACACAACACTCACACACATCCACCCACAAACACTCACTCTCACACACACACACAAACCAAACTCACACACACACACACACCTCACACTCCACACCACACACACACACAAACACTCCACTCACAGCCACCAGACACAACACACCATCCACACACACACACACACACACTCACACCACACGACAACACACACACTCACACACACTCACACACAGACACACTCCAGCACCACACAGACCCACTCCACACACACCACCCACACCACAGCACACACACACCTCACACACACACACTCACAGCACACTCCACACACACTCAGCACACACTCACGACTCACAGCACACATCCACCCAACAGCACACACTACACTTCAAACACTCCCCACACACACACACCACTCACACTCACACACACACACACACACCACACAGACACACCACAGCACACACACACTCACACCCCAGACACACAAGAACCTCACACACAACACCACAACACAC